AGTTGAATAACAAATATTTATATTATGTACACATAAATGAGTCTTTTAATAAAGAAATATTCAGGAGGTCAGGATGCAAGATATTTTTGGTGACAACAGTGACGAAGACAATGAAGATATAGTTGTACAAGCGATCCGTGCACAACCCATAAGTTTGTACAACCCGCCTGTTCACATGCAAAATATAGATGACGAACACGACGATACAACCTCCGTGTTTGGAAGTGCTATTCATAACCATATAGGTGACGAAATAGAGATTGGGATGGAGTTCAAAAATAAGGAAGCTTGTGTACTCGCTCTACATCATTGGCACATAATACACAGTGTTGACTATTGGGTGTATCATTCTGACAATCAACGATATGTCATTAAGTGTAAGAAACAAGACTGCAGTTTCAAGTGCAGAGCTTCCCTGAGAAAAAGGAACTCGAAATGGGTGATCGGTAAGCTTTCTGGGTCTCACACATGCAGTTCGACGTCTATGGCACAAGACCATAGGAAACTCAGTTCAGAAATGGTTAGCCATAGCATCAGGGAACTTGTCAACAGCGACGCCTCACTCAAAGTAAAGGTGATCATTGCCCATATTCTAGAAAAATACGGGTACATTATATCTTACAGGAAGGTGTGGATCGCTAAGTGCAAGGCGGTAGAGTCTCTTTATGGAAATTGGGAAACATCTTACAACGACCTTCCGCAATGGATACTAGTAATGAAAACCTTCCTTCCATGAACCATTATAGATTTACAAACACTACATGCGATATCAAGTGATGGTTCCCAAATCTCTGGAAAACGAATATTTCATTGTCTGTTTTGGGCACTTCATCCGTGCATACGTGGCTTCGCCTATTGTAAGCCCATTGTGCAAGTAGACGGGAACTTGGTTGTATGGCAAGTACAGAGGAACTCTATTGATGGCGGTGGCACAAGATGGTAACACAAATATTTTCCCAATAGCATTCGCATTGTCGAAGGTGAAACAAAGGAAGCGTGGAGCTTTTTTCTGAGGAACCTGAGATTACACGTGACACCAAAGCCGAATTTGTGTCTAATATCTGATAGACACGAATCGATAAAGAGTGCATACAATAATCCCGAAAACGGATGGCTAAATCCACCATCTTCACATGTCTACTGCATAAGGCACATCGCTCAGAACTTCATGCGCGAGATTAAGGACAAGGATCTACGCAAAAAACTTGTTAACATGGGTAACAAAATAAATTTCACTTATCTCAAGTTTTGTAGCACACTTTTATCATTTTTTCACACAATTTTTCTTACAGGTTACGCATTGACGGAGGCTACATTTAAGTACTATCACGGAGAAATCAGAAGAACAAACATTGAGGCTTCAAATTGGATAGACAACATTCATAGGAAGAAGTGGGCTAGAGCATTTGACGGAGGGCAACGTTGGGGACATATGACATCTAACTTGGCAGAGACCATAAACTCCATACTAAAGGCAATAAGAAACCTTCCAATCACTGCATTAGTCCAGTCTACATACTATCAAATGGGTTCGCTCTTTGGTAAAAGAGGACACAAATGGACCAAAATGTTATCTTTAGGGAAAGTTTTTACAGATGGTTGTAACAAAGGCATGGCTGATGAGGTAGCTAAGGCTAACACACACAACGTCATGCAATTTGATCGCGAAAGATTCTGCTTCATGGTGCAGGAAAAGATTAATTACAACGACGGTCGTCCAACAGGTACTTTCAGCGTTGACTTGCGGAATCGTTTGTGTGACTGTGGAAAATTTCAAGCATTTCACTTGCCTTGCTCCCACGTGATAGCGGCATGTTCTAGCATACGACAGGACTACACAATTCACATTCCAGAGGTCTTCAAAGTTCTTAACGTATTCAAAGTCTACCAGGAAAGCTTCATGGGACTACCGCACGAGGAATACTGGCCAAAATATGAAGGTTTTACTCTGTGCCACGACGATTCTATGAGAAGAAATAAAAAGGGGCGTCCAAAAAGTAGTAGAATTAGAACTGAGATGGACGACGGAGAAAAAGAGAAGAGAAGGTGTGGGATTTGCAGAGAAATAGGTCATATGCGTAGAAAATGTCCCAATGTTGTCGGTCCGTCAAACTGACCGAATAGATAATTTAATTGTACTAGTTTAGTATGTGATCCAACAATTGTTTTTAATTCAAAACAACTTTCAAATTAGAATAATACCAACGAACTACAAACATAAAGTGGATCTGTGACTCCACAAATTCAAAAATAAAACTCAAGAAGCTAACATAAACTCTAACCAACAACATCGACCAACACAAGTGGATCCGTGACTCCTCTATTGACTTCACCACTATGTGCTGAAAACATGCAATGGACATCTTCATCATTTTCTATACGACCTAAATAGTACATGTACGTACCCTCCGGGCTATCATCAGTCAGCGTTATATACGGACAACGATACTCCATTTTTCTCACCGTCATGCGGTGACCGCCCAGCTGCCGAAACCCCGTGTTAATTGTTGCAACCACGGTTCTGAAATTCCACTGCGGATCTAGGTAAACAGTGATGCTTTTTTCTGGTCCATAGAAAACAAGAGTTTGCACAGACATTTTTATAAAACGGATAACTTGACACGAATGATATTTGCCGATGCGCAATACGTCTATTTATAAAAAAATTACATTTGAGCTCGGTCATTCGATGACCGAGCGTCTGTAAAAAAATCACACCTCCATGGGCAAACATCAATCATTATTTTTTAATTTAATTTAATTTAATTTAATTTAATTTTTTATATACAGTAAAATATTATTAAATTAATTTAATATATAATACTTTTTTAATTTACTGTGAAATAGTTTAATACTAAATTACTTTAATAAGATTAAAATTAACAATTTAATAATTAAAATTATAATTGTTATTTTATTATTAATTATATAATTTATTGATTAATGTATTAAAGTATATATTTAGTAAAATAAATAAATAAAACTGAGAAAAAAAAATTAAAAAATTAAAATAAAAACACACACGCTCGTCCATCCTAAGAACGAGCTCATATGGGCTAAAAAATTCACGCACAAGTTCGCCCATTCTAAGGACGAACCTACAAGTTCAAAAAATTTCCTTCACAAGTTCGACATTTCATTGGACGAGCTCATGTAGAAAGTGGAGTAGATTGGTAAATATTTTTCAAAACGGGATATTATAGTATATTTTAAATCAAATAGGGGCACAACAGGGAAAAATCCATAATATTCATATTAGAAAAATGTACGAATGATCATCATTAAATTAGTTTTAATTCAAAAGCTTCTTCTATTCATCACGTTAACATATTTGATAGCAAACATAATTTTATGCCGTTAAATTTGAGAAGATGTGCACACTTCAATCTTAATTTAAAGAGTTTATAAAAATATTTTTAAATTATCCTTAAGATATTTATAGGATTAATAAATTTTATATTTAGCCAAATAAAAATATTTAAAATAATAAAATTATAAAAAATATCATAATTAAAGTGGAGAAAGTAATTTAGAGATTATTCATGATATTTTCTTATCAAACTAGTAAAAGTTTAGAACCAAATTATTAGGTGTGCTAAGCTTTGCATTGTACCGAAAGGAAAAATAAAAGTAGACTAGAAAAAAAGGAATTGGGTTACGTAACAGAGCTTCATAATCATAATAAGTAGCCTTTACATAAAGACTGTATTGCATGCTTAGCTTACCCTTTTTTTTTTCCATAAAACACTTAGCTTTTCCTTTTAAGAGACTGCGTGTAACCACATGAACATGCATGGATTTGATATATATGCTGAAAAATCTTCTTTTTTATCCTTTTCATGAAAAACATCTTATGCTCAAATCACTTATTCAAGCATGCTATAGTCCAATCACATACTACATGAATTGTTGCCTATTTACATTTTAGCACTTCCAGAAATTATAATTCAAATATACAATTTATATGCAATGATGGTAGGTCATTTTATATGTCTAAATTATTAGTATAGTACAATTAAGCAACTGTGTTTATTATTATGAGCTTATGCTTTTGCTAATTTTATTATTATTACTACGTTAAACGTCATGATTTATTTCTGAGTGAGTTGGTACTTGGAAGCAGTTCATTTAGACATGAATGACATTGATAGTGGTCCAATATTACAGCCTTGTGTGTGACATAAATTAATACTCACATACTTTCTGATTTTGCAAAAGTTTTATACTAAGCTATTTCCACCTATAATGCTGCATAAACATTTTATGGTGTATCCTACCATTTTTGTTTTGGTTTTTTCTAATAGGTGTGTGGGGAGAGGGACCAGGAGTATAGAAGGGTATAATATGAGACACGACACATGCCAATGTGTTACACTCACATTCAAATGCTTATCAATCATTGCATAATGTAGACATGGACAAGTAATCACATGCTTTACTTATCTTACAATTAGTACTACCTTTTTTAACTTTAATTTGACTTTGGGTGCCCAAATCAGCAACAAAATTTACCCTATTCTACATATTTGCGATCATTATTCCGTAGCCTAATCATTATTATTCTAGACTAAAAGCTTACCTATTTTCCTCTGTCATGTTCTCATACTTTTAGATTGTAAAATTGATTTTCACTTATTTTTGCATATCTTTGCAATGAAAAGTGTGAGGGTTGAATTTCCTTCGTCTTAATTTTCAGTTCAATATTATCTAACTAATTTTACAGCAAATATAAATTAACTTGATAGTCACTTGCCAAATATGAAATAAACCAAAGCATAAACAAATGTAAAGAACCTTTTATGTATGTTTGTGTGTGAAAGGTACACTTATATCATATTATGTTCAACAAATTCCAGTCTTGTTCTGGATACATACTAAAAAAAAACCAACTGAAAACGAATACATGTTTGGCAACAGCATAGAATTCTACCCAAAAAATGAAAAGAAAAAGGGAAGAAAATTAAACAATCCAAACATGGATTATGATTATGCTTATGATCCTATGAACGTGTGAATGACCCAATTCCTCTAGAAATCTGATCCATACGATGATTGGACCCCAAGCAACCCAACAAACCACGTTTATAAGGCAAGAATGTTTTCTTCTTCATCTCCTCAGTAGCGGCCCGGTTCATCGTATAATGCAACTCATGAGCCGAAACCGGTCCACGCCTCTTCGAAACCGAACCGGAACTCTCAGTAGACCGGAAACTGAAATTCCGAACATCTTCTTCCGCAGCAGGTTTTTTCGACAGAGCCGTGTACTTTCTCAAAGGATCTTTCTCGTTTGCTCTTCCTTCAGAAGCACTTCGGAAGAGGAGAAAATCTCTTATCTTCCATTTTCTATAGCCTTTTGTAAAGGATAAGAACGATTTCATGTTGCTTGTTGAAGAAGAAACGGAAGCGGAATCTGAAACGTCTTTTTCCTCGGAGTTGTACACGATGTCGGAGACTCTCAGAGGTGATAACGACCTGCTTCCTTTCCGACCAGAAGAGAAAAGTCTCTCTCTCCCTCGTTTGTCTTCTTCGTTTCTCGGTGTTTCCTTAACGAATGGTTTTTCTTCATGAGCTGTTTTGTTCTTTCTTGTTTTAGGAGAAGTTGGGGGCGGGGGTTTCAAGGGACGGATCTTTCCGCCGTCGAAGAGTTCATCGGCGGCGGAAAGAGATGCTCTTGGAAGATTAGGGGTGAAGTCGAACTGGAAGTCATCGTCGTTGCCAAAACTGTAGTTGTTGCTGTGGTTGGGGTTGGTGTCTGTGTGAAAAGGGAGAGGGGATTGAGGGAAGAGAGGGGAAATGCGAGTTGGGCTTGTGGGGGCACTGAAGAAGAAGTTGTTGGCGAAGCGTTGAGGGGATGAAGGAGCGGTGATGTATGGAGAAGAACAGTTGCTGTCGAAGTTGAACTCCGGCGGTGCAACCGGTGACAAAACTTCCACCTCCATGGTGGTGTTGGTTTGGGTGGGATGAAAGTGAAACCAGTTGCGATGGTGGAATGGGAAAATGGGTGTCGGTTTGAATGCGAAAGGATGACTATATAGAAAGAGAGAGAGTGAGAAGGAGAGAGGAAAGTGGGAAAGATTGACTTTGATTGAACGACTTGAGGGGTTATTTATTAGAACTAGCACTCTTTGCTAGACTATTGCATTAACTATAGTTTTTGACTTTTTTACACATGAATAAATAAATTTTGTAATCTTTTTAAACTATGGTTATTTTCACCTATAATACTCTAATTCATTTAACTTCCATAAATTTGACATAAGTGGAATTAGTATTACTTTGAATTTTGAAAACGGCATTTAAAAAAACAAATACTTTTTAAGTTGAAAGAAAAATTTTATTGGACAATGTAAGACATACAATGTTGTATAAAATAAAATGTTGGACGCTTAAAAATCAACACAATAATAAAGTAAGTGTATTAGAAATGAAAATGTTGCATTGGATGTATGGTAAGACTAGACATAATAAGATTAAAAATGTCAATATTAGACAGCGTTAGGATAACACATAGTAGAAAAGATTATGGAAAATAGAGTTTAGTAGTTTAGGCATGTAGTGAGAAGATTTGTAGATTATATGATAAATAGAGTATATCAAATGGAGAGGAATCAAATAGATAGACGTAGAGGAAAACCTAAGAAAATTATAAGAGATGTTATTAAGAAAGATCTCGAAATTAACAATTTGGATAAAAGTACGATCCTTGATAAAATATTATTGCGAAAATTGACACATGCAGTTGATCCCACTTAGTAGGACATGACTTGGTTGTTCTTGATATATTCTTCAAGAAAATGATATTTAAAAATAAAAAGAGAGAGTATAATACATCAATGTAGTGTTATATTCTAAAAAGTATTTCCTAGGGTGATACCCTAAAACTGCCCTAGGAGAAGGCGACGACATGAGGTTGTCCGAAGGGAAATATTGCCTCACCCTTAACTCTCTACGCCCCTAGAGAGAAATAAACTTGGGATAAGACGTATCTTAGATAAATTCAAAGACAGAGTTGTTGCTAACCCTCATCACCCTCGGAAGTAGGGATTCAACTATTCATCATTTGACTAAGTAAGTTGTAACCTTTTTCGAGGTAACCATAGGTCCTAAAGCCTCTGTAAATACGTTATCCCTTCAAGGGGAAAAATATTCTCAAGTCATACACACTCACTACTACTCAAAGAGCACTATGTTCCTAGTAATCTTAACACACCAACAACCTAACCACCCACATGCAACTCAACTACGCTGGCAACCAACAGGGCCTCTCACCTCACGTGAGTGAGTCCCTTACACAATCTCAAAACCACCATATAGGGCTTCTGAATGTCGTGATAAATCACTCACTATCCAAATTGTAATACACATACAAAGGTCTCCGAGTCCCCTTTGTAATACCCTAATTTTTACCCTTAAGATTTCTCACATATCATTTGCATCTCATTCCACAAACAAGATCCAAGCTTTGGTCATCTTGTTTTCCTCTGTATGTTTATTCTTGAGAGAGATCACCGAGCATTCATATTTTCTTGTTTGTTTGATATTTGTTTATGTCTATGTTTACTAACCATTTATCAAAATCGAAAAATATGTTTCTTTTCTTTTTCTTCACTAACTCTTTTTCAGGAAGAAGTTGGAATCAATAACATCAATCAACAGTCCCTCAGCTTGAATGAAATTCAACTGGAAAAAAATCAAAGTTGATCTGCAAACAATCCAAAATCATCTGATCAAGGGTTTCCAAGATTTGGTTGACAATTATTCATGTGTTTATTTCCATGCCTTCTTTGATAAGTAAAAAAAGTCGAGTCAGAACCAAAACAGCGCATCAAAAAGCAATTTTTCACAATTTTTGCTTATGGTAATCGATTACCAGTATTAGGGTAATCAATTACCTTGTGCGTTTTTTGTGAAAATTTACCAAATTCAAATTCTGCAGTATTTTTGGCACCAAATTCAAATATTTCATCATGAGAATATTCTAGATCACTTCATTTTAATTCTCCTACCTCATCATAATTAATTTCCACCATATACCTTCACTAATCACCACTTGATCTTGATTTTGCCTCCAAATTCAAATTCCAAACCTAATTTTGGTTCCAAACCAAACTCCAATCCACCAAAATTTCTAAGCCTAAATCCCATAAATAGAGGTCTCATTTTATTCATTTCACAAGCTTTTGATATCCAAATTCACCATGTCAAATTTCTTCTTGACTTTTTTTTCCTCCAACTATCAAATTCACCAAAACTCGTTCTTCCTTTGAAAGTTAGTAAGTTCATCATTAGAACTTACTAATATTTGAGCTAAACCTTCATCCATTCACTTTTTTATCATCAATTTTTGTAGATTAAAGCTTTGGAGTGTGATTTTTGGAGTTGATTTGAAGAATTTTCAGATTTGAAGTGGTAATCTCTTGATCCACCATTATTGTTCTTAATTCATCCTTCACAATATGATCTATTGTTGATTCTTGTTGCTTGATCTTTGGATCTTGAAAATTGTGTTCCATTGGTGTTGTTTGATGTTAATTTACTTGAATTTTCATACTCAATTGCTTCCTTTATCATGAGGTGTTTGAAGAAATGATTGATCAAGTTTTTTCACATTTCAAGGTGGATTTTCTGTTGTCTTAACATGTGTAATTGATTACCTTCCTGGTGGTAATCGATTACACAGTGTTGATTTTGCCATTTTGGGTTTGTTTTAGGACTGTTTTGGTTCTTTCTTCTTCTTCTTCTTCTTCTTCTTCTTCTTCTTCTTCTTCTTCTTCTTCTTCTTCTTCTTCTTCTTCTTCTTCCATTTCCCTTTGGTTTTTGCTTTGGAATACACTTCTAAAGGTCATTTTTCTCTTTAAATTCATTGGACTTAGGGTGTAGATGAAGTTGGATAAACATTCACTAATTCAAATCTATCTTTAAAGTGAAATTTTTAATTCATTTTAGGTGCTTTGAGTTAATTATATGTTTAATGCTTTAATCCACCAAGATGAGTGGATGAACTTAAAGATGGAATGAACTTAAAATTGTAATTCAATTTGGCTTTCCCTTTCTTCTTCTCGTTTTTCTTTTGATCGATAAAAATATTTGATATCATTAGAACTTGTTTCAAGTTCTTGATGAAGATGAGATCGTTACCTATTTTCTTTTCGTGCGATATTGCTTTTGGAGAGTGATCTATATATCACTTCTCTAGCATGCATTAACACTAACATTGTTATTGACCGGTCTCAAATGGTCGAGGTTTCTACATAAACCCAATTACGATTGCTTAACATAGAGCTAAATTTTCCCATAATCAGAAAATGATCATCTGTGGCTCAAACATATGTTTGAAAGTCCAAGTATGGTTGATTATTTTCCTTAGGTCCATTACCTATGAAACTTGTTGTTAGGAGGCTTTGATTTTATCAATCCTCTAATGAGTCTTCATTAACTTTGGCCTAAGTGCATGAGTTAACCACCGTTGATCATTTGTTCTAACAACTAATTACTAACTCACTAACAATATTATTGTACTAATTTTGTTTATGCTTCCTTCTTCCTCCCTATCTCTCCTTTATCTTTATGCTCCATTATTATCATATCATATCACATATTATTTATGCTTCCGCTATTTTTCCTTTGTCCGTTTGTACTAAAATCTTTAATAAAAGCTCAAACCCCTAAAAACTTTCTCTTAATGGTGGACTATGGTTACTATCCTTTGCATTAGACATGGAATTTTGGACCTAGAACTAGGATCATAACCAATGCTTGGAAGTTTGTGATGGTAAACTTTGGATGTTTGGGTACTTAAAGTTCTCCTTTGAAGATCTGTCTTGATCAAGGCCTAATCAAGTTCTTCTTCAAAAAGACATAAAAAAACATTCAAACTCATTCAAACCTTTTCTGCCTTATGCATCTTTTCTTTTAAAAACTTTTCCATAAGTTTAGACATGAGTCATCTCTTTAAGCGGAATTATTCGTTTGGAAATGACGAATTGTCTTTTCACTTAAAATCAACCATAACAAACCTATTTTTTCATTTGTGCCACGAACTACGGGGTTTTGATCCTATATCGCACTTTGTGGATACGTGGGTATGAGGCGATAAGTCTCTCCAAACACAAAAATCTTAAAAATAATTTTCTTCTCATCTCCCCAATCTCACTTAAAAAAAACATTTTCAAACCAAAAAGCATAGATATTTCAAAGGGTTCCTATAGAGTACTATAGACGTTTTGGGTGCTAACACATTCCCTTAGCGTAACCAACCCCCTTACCCAGTCTCTGTTTTTCTGTTCTTGTTTTAGAACTTGATTAGGTTTTGTTTGCTCTTTTTCCTTTCTTTTTGGATAAAATAAAAGTGTGGTGGCGACTCTATCTTTTTGTGTTAAGTTAATTAATAACTTACACTCACAATTTTTTCCACTACGAAAAAGTGGCGACTCTGCTAGGGAAAACCTAGAATCTCTGGTTCTCAGTGGGTTTAGCCTACTTTGATTTATTTATCACTTTTTGTTTGATTTGTTTGTTATTTCTTATTCTATTTGGGTGCTTGGTGATCCTGTGTGGTGAGATAAGTCATATACCCAGACTTGAGTGCACTTATGATAGGAGGGTGGTATAGTCTTGTTCGGCTTACATGGAGTAGTCCTTATTAAGCTAACTTGAGATCCCATGCTTAGTGGAGGCCCCTTTGGGATTAATGATGTCATACAAGTAGTCGCATTTGGCATTACTTTATTGACTTAGGAGCTTGAGAATTTGAGGATCTTAAAACCCTTTAACCCATCTTGGCCTTATTAGGACTTAGTGCGATTGCTATTCAGGTGTAGACTTGAATTAGTTGTTACACGATACCACACTCAGACGAGTTTCTCTTAAGAATATTGTTTGCTGACGAGTAGTCGTTTAAGCCGATAATATCCAAAAGATAGAATTATGACTCCGGGAA